CTCCAATAAACCTTAAATGAATCCATAAAATTTCAAAAGACATGGCCTTCAATTGCTTGGAATAATTCCAGGATCAGGCAACATGGAGCATGAACTCTTTGAAGGCTGCGCATTACCTTGATGGGCATGTACTTGTGAAAAATCTTAAATAGTAAAAACAGCCATCATTTTGTGAAAACTGATAAGATTGTGGATGGGGTATAAATGAAAGCCCTTGCCATGACAGGTATAAATGTAGTGTAATTATCCCCGCTTTTGAACTGTGTACAAACCTTCAATATCAGGGAGGAAAAACGCTTAAATTCCAATTGGAAGACGTTGATTAGGAACAACTGATTGTGGGTATCCCGTGTCAAGTATTTGTCACCCTATTAGTGGTGTAAGGCTTGACTGGGTTGGGTGCATTTCACAGTATTCATTGTGAGTGAGTGAATTTTCATTTGCCACCAAGTCTCATGAAAGTTCGATCGTTAACTCGGATCTGATCCGCACCAAGATCAGATGACATCTCACTGGACCTCTGTGTGAACCTCAGCGAACTTTGACCACCTGATTGACATAAAGGATTGGTGTTTTTATCAGACACATGTCGGCTTTTGAAATAATTTGGCTTTAATGCTTAGCCACTTTGAGTCAGAAATTTCAAATTTCAAATCATTCCTTCAACTGCCTCTCCTTCCTTCCTTCCTGGGGATAGATGCCTTGCCACTCAGAGATAGGGTCTGTTGCATATCAACAACAGAGAGGTTGAGCTTTATTAGTTATTAAGTCCCCTATTACTTTTAGAGGTACAAATATCACATATGTTTGTCTGAATTCTTCACTCACTCATACAGAGAATTTAGAAACCTTGATGCTGATATAGAAATTTCTCCTAACATGAACTCCTGTGAAGTTGAGAGGTATCACACAAAGTATTCAGTGAGTGAGTGAGTGATGTACATAAATTAACCATAGTTTTGATTAACACACTCTAAATTCAGATTCAAACCCTGACTATACAAACCATGTCAGAATCTACACCATATCGTCCATATAGTTAAAGCCAGTATTTTGAATTGTAAATGGTATTATTTATAGATATGTCTTAAATTGCAATTAATATTGTAATGTTGAAATGTGCATGAAATACACAATGCCATTTTAGAAAGTGGTCAAATGTAACATATGTTATATTTGGGATTACACTTTCTCAGTGAAGTACAGATTACACTTTCTCAGTGAAGTACAGATTCTAGTACTTGCGTGCGCGCGAGTGTGTGTTTTGAGTCCCATCCAGGATTCGAACCCGCACCCTCAGAGTCAGGCACCTAATTGCCAGCACACAAAGTCAGACGCCTAAAACTGCTTTTAAGTGTGACTTTGATTTATATAATAACTTGTGTATATGCTTGAACTTGGTTTTATTGCTATATGGCTGAAATGAAGCCAAAGCAATTGAAATTTTAACTTACTGACTCGATCCAAAAACATCAAGAAAGTTTACACCTAAAATAGATTGACGTCCAGATCTTGCTTCTGATATGACAGCAGGCATGTAAGATCATGTACAACACAAACAGATGACAAGGTTAAAACTATGTTTACGCTATAAAAAAAAATTACTCTACAGAGAAACTACCCATTCATAAACACAAAATGTAGATTTCCCATATACACATATATGTCTGTATTGCATCTTAGAAGAAACCAGCTCCAGAAGAAGTTCAGCAGCCTTGATACATTGTATGCCCATTGATCATGTGTGCATAAAACAAAAATGGCAACAGCTTGGTCCATACATTCCGTCAATGAACAGTGTTGAGCAGTGGAAATAGACATGTGCAGAGCCTATCTAAAAATGTAACTGAAAACCTAATGAACTCAAGTTTTAAACTTACCTTTGGCCTAAACAAGGAACTAAAAGTGATACCTATTACAAGTGAGAAAACTGGATGATTTATAATCAACTAAACGTGATTCTCTTAAAGTGAAGAAAAGGAGCCTTGACATGAGACCACTAAATACTGCTAAGTATTTAACCTTTAAACACTACAAAGTTCAACAATCTAACACCACAATAGCCAAATGAACCTACAAGTCTAACAATGAAATAAGCCCCTTCTAGTCTAATACCTAAAACCGAATGGGATGATGGGGAATGTACAAGTCTAACAATGAAATAAGCCCCTTCTAGTCTAATACCTAAGACCGAATGAGACGATGGGGAACGTACAAGTCTAACAATGAAATAAGCCCCTTCTAGTCTAATAAAACCCTAAAACCAAATATGATACCGATGGGAACGCATTAAGTCTAACAATGAAATAAGCCCCTTCTAGTCTAATACCTAAGATGATGGGGAACGCATACAAGTCTAACAATGAAATAAGCCCCTTCTAGTCTAATACCTAAAACCAAATTAGACGATGGGGAACGTACAAGTCTAACAATGAAATAAGCCCCTTCTAGTCTAATACCTAAAACCGAATTGGGACGATGGGGAACGTACAAGTCTAACAATGAAATAAGCCCCTTCTAGTCTAATACCTAAAACCGAATGGGAGGATGGGGAACGTACAAGTCTAACAATGAAATAAGCCCCTTCTAGTCTAATACCTAAAACCGAATGGGGATAAGATGGGGAACCGAATGGGATGGGTGGGAACGTACAAGTCTGACCCCTTCGAGTTACCTAAACCTAATGGGAGGATGGGGAACTCAAGTTTCACATGCACTCATACCTATCTCCAGGTGTATTCAGGTGCACTCATACCTATCTCCGGGTGTATTCAGGTGATACGACCAGTATGCACTGGGTGTGTTTGTGCAAGCACTTTTAGTGAAAATACTAAAATGGCTTCAGAACAAACAGTTTAACCTGTAACTAAATCATACCAGTGTGATATAGACTTAAACAACTCACAACTGTATGACATGCATGCTGACATCCAGATCAGTATTTATATAAACACACATGTTCATCACACACACCAAGAAAACAGTCCATCTCCTGTAAAGAAATAAATATGTCTGTTTACAGAGACGACTAGGTGTAACACAGATTCTCATACAGACCCAAAACAAACTGACTGACTGACTGACTGACTGACTGACTGAGTATGGTTTGACAATGTTTTAAGCAATATTCCAGCAATATTACGGCAGGGAACACCAGAAATGGGCTTCACAAATTATACCCATGTGGGGAATCGAACCGGGCCTTCGGTGAGACGAGCGAACGCTACAACCACTAGGCTTACACCAAAAAACAAAAAAAACAAACAACCAAACAACCAACCACACCCCCACCACACACACACACACACACACACACACACAAACAAAAACTCAGAAGGAAGTCTACAATCCTTTGGCACGTCTAGATTTTCTCAGTTTCTGAAAATGATATTTTGTGGACTCCTTTCACTATTTAAAAAACAAATTAATAAAAAAAATGTCAAACCTTTGTTTTCTTCAAGACTAAATGGTAGAATAAGTCAAAACAATACTTCTCCTTCACCAGAGAGAATATATATGAAAATTAGTCCAACTCTAGTCTCAAATGATTTGGTAAGACAAGACTGCCTCCGTTTTGAAATTAAGCAATGCCCTGGGCTCCATACTCGATTAAATTTTGTTGATATATATTCTTAAATATGATAACTGTATTTCTGGGACTAAATGTCTAATTCAAACACTAAACCATCCATTCTGCGAACCTAAACCAATGTCATGTCACTGACTGGCAATACGTGAAGTTGAAGAATACAAACAAAATTGTTGGTTGCATAATTACAAAGATATGATAATGATCCGTTAATTTGTATCATTAGCAGTCATCATGTTTGTATACAGCCAGGTTTCACCAAATTATGTCAATTATTACATCATCTTTCCGCGATGATGAGAAATACCAATTAAGCTCCATGTTGCCATTTGTAAATACACATAAATAACCTTCTTGAATAGGACACTAAACTCATGTGGTTAACATAATACCGTAAGATAAAAGAATTGACAATAACATTTAACACAAAGCATATAAATTTCTTTCAAAGCCACAATATATGATAATGCATTCCTGATGACCCTACAGAATAGAGAAACTTAGCTCTCAGTGTTCTTTTCTTAATTTGATTGTGTCCACCATAGACACATCCTAACAAACATTCATGCTTCATTTGAATTGCATCCATTAACTTTTCCTGTACAATATGTCTTGATTATTTCAATTAAATCAATATAAGAAATAAAATAACTTTTAAGAAATGAAATAATATCTAATAAGTTTAGTCTAATCTGATCCCAAATGAAACAGGTAAAACACCATAACATGAACTGTTCAGCCTGGTTTCATCAGATTTGCCACTGCCAGCTTTGTGAAGTCCAAGCAGGCAACACTTTTATACATCTTCGCGGTTTAAAAAAAAAAGAAATTGCTGGAAATTTACTAGAAAATATGTATTTGCCTGTCTTGCTTTCATAGAAAGACATTGAAGTTTTCAAAGTTTGGTGAAAGGCTGATGAAAAGTATTTAAAGTGTTTCCAAGTAACAAAACACTCCATTCCATTAACATGTAAATCAAAACTTCATAACTAGCTTTATTAAAATATCAGTAAAAAAATTCTTCACACCTTTGAAAAAAACATGCACATTGTAACCAATGAATCACTTTCACTTGAATGAACATTTTACTTCCTCAAAACAATATAAATTAATAAATGTAATTCAGCTGTCACAAATCTGTTAAAAAGGAATCAATTTTCTACAAAATGATGCTATCTGGAAGAAAATGACACTATTTGGAGAACTATATCTGAAGTCTGCAAAGCATGAAAAATAGAAACTGCAAGGAATATTTACCAATCCCCCCAAATCGTATTGGTGTCCAATTGATCTCGGATTACCCAGAGGGAATAAAAACACATGAGCAATATCAAATATGTCCATTTATCACCAACATAATTGCATTAGGATTATATCAAGAAGGCTAAATTGACAAGAAGGGAGCACTTACCACAACAACGACGATCTCTGTCAGCAGTCGGATGCTATTCTCCTACAGACTGATCTGAAATGGATGGAGAGATATTGTTAGCACTGTTACCACGTTAACTGTGAGCTCACTGATGTGGATGTGGACCAATCAGGTCTGCTTTCTCTCACGGCAACCAGGGCCTCAGTGTTTGATAACAGACAATGTGTAACAGCAACCTGGATTCTCACCCACTGTTTCCACTTCACCAAATATTTGCTATGGACAGGATAAAGAATTTCTGTGTATCAGTTAAACAGCTCATCTCTTAGCTTTTCAGAAAAAATTGGACTTAAATGCAGGAATATTGATCCTTTTCAATCATTTATCATTTAATGTTTCAGAAAATATTTTACTTGTTATGACAACGCAAGATAAGGATGATCATTCATTCAAAGACTTGAATAGAAATAGTGGTTGTTTAGGCTATTGAGTGAGTTTAGCTTTACAACCCTTTGAACAGAAATTCAGCTAACAGTTATATCAATGCCTGTTAGATTAATGCAGGAGAAAAGCTACACTAAATCATTGCATTTCGGAAAAACTATGTTTGCCAGAAACAAGCAACAACATTCAAACCGGACAGGAGCCCTAGTGAGATGGAAGATCTCGACAGGCTTTATGTAGTGAGTGAGTGAGTTAAAATTTAACGTCACATCGGCTATATTTCAGCCATATTGTGTACTTTATGTAGAGTTATGGCTTTCGAGTAAGGACAGGGTGGGAGGGAAAATAGCATGGCTTAGGAACAGTGAGTGAGTGAGTATAGTCTACGCCACACTCAGCAATATTACAGCTATATGGCGGCGGTCTCTAAATAATCGAGTCTGGACCAGACAATCCAGAGATCAACAGCATTAGCATCGATGTGCGCAATTGGGAACTGATGACATGTGTCAACCAAGTCAGCGAGCCTGACCACCTGATCCCGTAAGTCGCCTCTTACGAAGATCAATATTCTAACCTGGACTTTCACGGGTCTAGGAACCGTGAGACAGACTAGAGGAAAATCTGGAGTGATACAGGCCTTATACTAACATATATGATCATGATATGGTATTGAAAAAACCCAGAGACATTATAAATCATAGGGAACTGGAATATGAACCTACATCATAGGTTCCTGTCATGACTAAGGGAGATAACTGAGAGTTTAAGAAACTTCATGACTGTTACAACACATTTGATAGACATTTTATTTACAAGGGTTTAGATTCCAAGTTAATAAAAGAAACAGTTTAATTGTCACACAATGAAATGTTAAAACTGACAAAAAAAATGTTTGCATCATATCATACTGAATGTGACACAAATGCATCACGTTCCGTCTCCACAATTTCAAAACATGGCTGTAATGTTGCTGATGTGACAATAACTATTTTGTATAACTACCGCCACTTAATACATCTGCTATTAATTATACTGTAACACTTTCAACTACAAGAATGCATTAACAAGAGTATAGTATGACCAGAAATTATTGAGAATTTTAGGAATATGTTTAATTGGATTTCTAGTATAAACAACCTTGACCAGCTATCAAGTACTTGGTTTCATTCAAGAGAGACAACTCTGTTAATCCTTTTTCATTAGTCTGTGAAAAGTTATCCCCCTTGTTTACTTGCTCGCAGACGACTTTTTCAGTGATCCTCAGTATGGATGATTTAGAGAAGAGGAAGTTGATGTTAGAGTATTATAACAAGGACATCAGATCAGCTAAAGTGATATAAGTAGAACACTCATCCCTTTGTCCACTGTTTATTGTGTTTTGAAAAATATTGCAAATGGATATGGCATTGAGCACCAGGGAGGCGCAGGTAGGCCCAGAAAATTGAGTGTCGGTCACAGGAGGCGGCTTGGTATTCTTGTTTCTAAAAACAAACGAAGGAGTTTAGAAAACTTAAGGCTGGATATGATTGATAGAGGAACTGTGGCTGTCTGTAAGGAGACAATTAGAACTGAGCTGCATGCAGTGGGTTGGCAGAAAAGTCAAGGAATTCCATCACCTATCATGAAACCTGAACAAAAGAAGCGAAGGTTGAACTGGTGCTTACAGCATAGAAATTTTAACTGGGACAATGTGATTTTCTCAGATGAAAGTTCTGTGTGGCTCCTTCCTAATACACTGAAATTCTGGACCAAACAAACTGAAAAACCTTTGTATCAGCGCCTAAAGTACAGTCCGAAATTTAACGTGTGGGGTGGCATATCAGTGTTAGGGGCAACACCCCTCTGTGTATTTGAAGGGAATATGAACAGTCAGTGAGCGGTACACAGATATTCTCGAGGGACATTTACTTCCATCTGCTCACATGTTCTATGGAAATTTTTGGATTTTCCAGCAGGACAACGACCCAAACATCGTTCAAAAGTATTCACAGTCCTGGTTTCGGACCCAAAATATGACATTATTAGATTGGCCAAGCTATAGCCCTGTCCTAAATCCAATAGAAAATGTTTGGGGACTTATGAAGGGAAGTGTCAATAAGAAAAATCTGACAAATATTGCTGAAATGAAAGAAGAGGTGGTCCGATATTGGGACAGCATGGACCACAACTTTCTAACTTCTTTGATCAGTAGCATGCCCCGCCGCATTGAAGCCTGCGTTGCTGCCCATGGTGAGTTGACAAAATACTAACTGTTCACCTGTCTTTGAATCTGGAGTTATGTTCTGCTAATATTCACATTTAATACGTGAGTAATGAGTGAAAAACTAAATATATTACAATCTTTAAATTCTCAACAAGCATTGTCACTAAGGTGACATAATCCCCCGCCGCAAATGATCAAATCAAACTTATAAAGTAATGAAAATTGAAGTTAAATGTCAACAAAAACATGACCAGTCCAGAGCTCCAGATAAGATTTAGCTCATGTGGGTACTGTACCCACTGTATTTTTTTGGAGTGGGTATTATGAATGTTGTGTGGGTATTTCATTTTCCGTTACCCACAGCTTTCAAATATGTGCGTATTTCGGTCATTTTCATCACCTAAGTATTATGTCATTGAGTAAGTTTACTAAGCAGGTATGTTCTGCCTTATGTCATACCTAATCAAAACCAACTTAAATATAATGGAAATGATTTCATTAAAAAATCACTCATCCTATACTGACAGTAAAACACTAGTCCTATACTATCAGTACAACTTGATAGCAATCGATGTCTTTTTCATTACGCAAGCGATTTTTATAAATATATTCCGTACGCATTTGTTTTAAACTTTTTGCGTATGTAACATTTTAAATGCGTAATTGGTACGCAACAATTATTTTTCAATGCGTAATTGGAAATTTTCCATGCGTATTTTACCCGGATACCCAGCTTATCTGGGCCTCTGCCAGTCAACCTCTCTTGATATCTTGCTCTTTAGGTGTTCAAACACACATATATTTTCAAGACTGACTTTGACCTTGACATGAATGTCATAGTGTATGAAATATGCAAAAATAGTACTAAAGAAATTGCTTTTTGATAAAATTTAAGGGGAGTACTCAAAAGAAAATTGAACCGTTTTTGATGACAACATTTCAAAGTGTCTCTGTGACCTTTGAAAATTAAGTGAAGGTCTTCAAAGTCTGCGCCTTGAAGTCAAAATCCAGTGAGCATAACCCGTTTTTGAAATATCTTGCTGACAATCCCTGGATAAAGGTTGAAGAACATCCAGCTGAATGGTTCTCGAGGTCTTCACTGACAAGCATAACCTGCTCTGCTGATCTTCTTGACCTTGAAAATTAAGTGAAGGTCACCAAAATCGACTGGGCCCTGCGCCTTCCCTAGATAAAGCTTTGTATTGAATATGAAAGAAAATCCACTGAACGGTTCTTGAGATAGCTTAACATGCAGGTAAAACGTTAAAGTCCCCTTGTGACCTTCAAATGAAGGTCAAGGTCACCAAACCTGACTTGGACCTTTCTTATGCTGTGATGAACCTAGGTACCAATTATGAAAAGAATCTAGAGAATGGTTCTTAAGATATTCCAATTCGTACGTACGACGTATGGACGGAGCCTAATACTATATCCCCCGCTTGCGCTAAACGCACGGTGGGGGATAATAATTTCTGGTTGTACTGTACATTAAACCTTTATAACAATTACTTTGTAAAACTAACCCTTTTCATAAAGTCTCAACCCTTACAGAAGATACAATTTAAGAAAGGAGACAAAGGAGTTTGGAGAATGTATATACTATATATTTGAACAATGTTGTTAACACCAGTCAGCATGACTTCAGATGTCATTGTGCCTGCAATATGATTGATTGAGTGAGTGAGTATACTTTACCTGCGCTTTTAGCAATATTCCAGCAATATCACGGTGGGGGACATCTGAAATGGGCTTCACACATAGTACCCATGTGGGGATTCGAACTCGGGTCTTCGGCGTGACGAGCCAACGCTTTAACCACTAGGCTACCCCATTGCCCCTAATATTAACTAAGGCTCATTAGGACAAGATTACATTTGAACATGGAGTCTACACATATCCACCATGGCAACATCAACAGCTCTCAGCAAGGAACCAATCTGTGTTTATGGAGGGAAATACACAGAATGATTCTCTACATGTTCTGTATATTCTCTACAAGTTCTGTATAAATCTATTATTCAAACACTCCCATTGCTGACATACATTAGCTCAGAGTTTAGCGCTGGTTATGTAAACACATCCTTTGTATAAATATTCACATTTGACTTCAACAACTTCGAAAAATAAATTGCTGTTTGATTTCTACCAAAAACTGTCATCATCCAAGGCATTAGAGACATAAAACTACCACAAATATAATTGATTTTCAAAAAAAGAAAAGCTTTCAAGTGACACTGAATTGATCTAATGCTCATTGATAAGTAAGAATATTACATGGAGATCTGAGGACATTTGACTTTATCGTGACTGTCAGTTCCTGGCAAGTTAAAGACATGGTCAGCATCTATGGGTTCATCTTATGAGAGCATCACAAAATGGAGAAATGATCACTTGAATGTGACAGGTTAGACGACTTTTTACATGTCATTTAATGAACCTCTAG